CCCCCCCCGGACCATAGAAACGTGGGAGTCCACAAACCAAAGCAAGCTGATAGGGTGGTTTATTATTGGTTCTTTTTCAATAAGCATTTCAAATAGAAATGAGTCACTGCAGGTAACAGAAGAGAGTATGCAGTGCAGGAGGGCTGTCCTTGAATTCCATGCAACTCTGAACTATGATCCTCTATTCAGGAACTAAAATATAATGAGTAGGATTTGCAGTGTCTCCTGTATTGCTTTTCCAGTAGAAACATGTGAAGAAATGAAATTGTTGAACACAGCTAAAAATAGTAATGTTTCTGGTGGTTAAAACGAGGTCTAGCTTTGCGCCTGTGTATAGTTCATGTGCTCGGAAGCTGTGCCTTTTAGAAACCACAGTTTGCTCTGTTTTATTGGTGTAAATTAAAGTACGGAGGACAGTTGCATTACTTTGAATTTATACTGGTGTAACTGAGCCTATTTGGAACTGCATAATTCTTTCATGAGGCAAAAATCTCTTGTATAACATTGAATTAACTTGCTTTTTTCCCTTCCTCTGTATCAAGTGAAGGGAAATGGGAAGAGAGAAATGAAGGTTTGAAAGTGTGATCTAGCTGTCGTACATTTGAATAACTGTACTCTTAACTAAGTTTGAATGTATAATCCCTAGATCTGAAGTTCACTTCAGTGTTTGTGTGCGCTGGCCATCTCAGTGCATTGCATCCTGTATAGCAGGGATGTCAGGCTCATTTGGCCCTAAAGGCCAGATTAGCATTGCTGAGCTGGCCTGTGAGCCAGACTGGGACTGTGGAGCATCCAAAGTGCTGGGTTCAGTCCTCATTTTGCAGGCAGTTGCACAACTGATGCTGGCCTCACGTGCTGGGTGCAGTGCACACAACTAGTTCAGCCCTGCCTCTGCGCTGTGTGCACCATATGCTATACTCTGGGGCTCACTGTGCGTGGCGCAGGGACTCTGGGGTTTAGGCTGCGCGCAGCATCCCAGACTGACCCCTGGTGCCAGGTCCAGCTCACGTGCTACATGCAGTGTGTGAGGCTGGGACTGGTGTATGGGGTTGGTCCAGTGCTCCACAGGCTGTATCGTATAGCTCCACAGGCCAGATCCAGCCTGCGGGCTGAATGTTTGTCACCCCTGCTATACAGAATGACTAGTTAGGTTGTCAGTAGTGGAGGGCCCTTGGCTTTGGAATTTATATTCCCACCTTAACCTATTGATCCGACATAGTTTTAGTTTAACCTTCAGGACATGACTCTCGTTACATCTCCTTAATGACAGAAGTAGTGGTTTTGTGTGTTTGTGTGTGGTGTCTAGAGTTGTCTTTTGGAGGGCAGGTATTTAACATTCATTAAAATTAAGTTGGCTCATTTATTGTATTTTTTACTGTAAAGTACCTCCAGATCAGCCGGCATGCAATCTGCCAATAGGGAAATTGTTGGGATGGAGTAAAAATTATATGTTTTAAACATTAGGCTCCAGAATCCAACCGAAATGCTGCCATACTTTCCAGATTATTTCCTACACTGTCTTTAAAAGTGGTGGTGGGAATTCAGAGGCATAGGCGAAAAAACTTAGTATTGAAAGAGTTCAGATAGTGAAGGTATGCATGCAGGTGTCTGAAATGCTTATATGAGAACATACATGGAAGTCTTGAATGGTGTGCCCTGAGATTGGACATGAAAATAATGTTGTGCACACAGTAATTTTCCTCTCATTAATAACCTGTGGGGTTTTCTTAAATTAGACAAAGTGCTGCTTTGTGGAGACTAGTTACATAGATTTAAAATGGCAGATTTGTTAGCTATTTTTTGTGTTACTGGGACTCGCGCAAAATACCTCAGTGAACTTTTATACTTGGAAAAATACTTTCTGTATCCATCATCTCCTGTGTTTTGCAATAACTTAAAACAATTCTGTTTGGTCTGCTTTTCATTTCTCTAAAACTTTTTTGCTCTTAGGCTGAAGCTGAAACATTTCAGCTTAAAAGGTAGCTTATTTTTGGAAAAGTTACTTTCCCCTAGATCCCAGGGGCTTTAAGAAAAATCCTCTCTCAAAAAGAATCATCACATTGTTACCACAATATTATAAAATTATAGAGCTTCTAGTACATTTATCAGATAGTTTCCATGGTATTAAACAGTTTTTGTAACAGCAACAAAGCAGCACTGTATAATTAAAAAAGGAGCAGATCTTTCCATTTTGGCTATGTATTTGATAATTCTATCTTCTTTTGGGTTGCCTTTTAGGATCTTTTCTTAATGAAATCCCACCTTTTAAAATTTCTTGTTTAGGAAAAATCTCATCAGCTTCAGTGAAAGTTTTAGTCAAGCAAAGACAGCAGGATTTGGGCCTTCATTTTCAAATGAGCAATGTTGATCTTTATTTCTTTTTTATCACAAAATTGTTTAAGTTCTCTTGTTGTTCTCTCATAGGCCCCAGTTGTCCAGTCCTTATTTATATTGATACTTGTTTGGTGTTTTTTAGGTGGTGAGAAGTAAAACAATTGG